TGAGGGAGGGAGAAAAACAGGCAAGAAACGCAGCTGGGCAAGTGTCACCTTTCGTGAGGAATGAAGAAGTGTACCATCGCCTGAAAGTGGCCAGCACATGGCCCTCGCCTACTTCACATATCTGGCTTGGTGGGCTCTGGGGGAGGGGATGCCATGAGCAGCGTGGGAGTCAGCGCAATGCCGCCCAACCCCCAGCTTGCCAGGTTTCAGCAGGCAGCACCGAGAGGTTGAGCCGGGCAGTGTAAAGCTCGCCAGCTTTGCACCTTGCTACCTGCTGAAACTGGACAGGCTGGGGGTTGGGCAGCATGGTGCTTCTTTTTGGATTTGGGCCGCCCGGTTCAGCTCTTGGCGCTGAGGAGAGCGCCCCGCTGCCTGCTGAAACCGGGCAGGCTGGGAGCTGGGCGGCCTCATGTTTCTTTTTGGATTTGCGCCACCCAGCTCAGCCTCTCGGCGCTCTGAGAGCGTCCCACTGCCTGCCGAAACCCCTCCCCCAGAACCCATCAAGCCAGATATGTGAAGTAGGCGAGGCCCATTTGCTGGCCACTTCCAGGCCATGGTGAATTTCTTCATTCCTCACAAAGGGTGACACCTCCCCAGCATGCACCCAGGGGGCGGGGCCGACGCGGCAGGGACTGGTTCCTTGTTGTTTCCAAATGGCCTTGTGGAGCTAAGACTGAATGCGTTTCAGCATAGTTGGCCACCACAAAATTGTACATTGGCTTCCGGCCGGCCTGGGCCAGGGCCAAGACAGCGGGGGCCGTTCCCTCACTGTTTCCAGGATGGCTTCACGGGCCACATGAAACCACTTCACGGGCCGCATCCGGCCCCCGGGCCTTGTGTTTGACATGTCTGCTCTAGAGTCTAGACGGGCTAGAGATAAAGGGATAAAGTGAATTACATCTGTTTCAGCGGCTTAAGCCAAGGAGGCCGATTGTACATGTCGTTAAGCAGACGAATGTGGGGTTGTCTGAAATGGACAGGAGAGGCCATATGAGTCCCAGCACAGGCTACATTTGACTTCAGATTGACTTTGGGGCACATGGCTTGGAAACATGTATGGAACATGCGGCTGTTGTGGCTCCGTCTTGTGAGCCCCTCTTATCGGAGGAAGAAGGCTCCGAACATGAAGGAGAGGAGATGGTCCTGGAGAGGACCTCCCTCTCCAGGACCCTCCTCTTTGGCAATGCCTCAGGTGTCTCCCGACGGAGAAGAGATTGACCAGGAGCCAGGTGTTTCTGAGATTGGCCAGGAGCCAGGTGTTTCTGAGATTGGCCAGGAGCCAGGTGTGTCGGATAATGAGGAAGAGAAGTTGTGGCTGGATCCACGCCAGCGTAGGAGTGACAAGCGTGCGCAGCAGAAAAGGAGACGTGCCAGAGATTAAGCTGAGTCACTGGACCACACCCCACAGGCTATAAAAGGGTGGTGGTGGCCATTTGGACCTCTGTGACGGACAAAAGCTGAATCTCTGGCGAAGTAGTTTGCTGTGGCTTTAAACTGTGTGTATTGTTTTTTGTTTCTGTGTGCTTGGAGTAAAAGGTCTTGGCAGGCAGCTATGGAGCTGCTGCCAAGTTTCTTATCTGTGAAGTGGTGTCTGGAGAAGTCTTTAACCCTCGGCTGGCTGTTTGGGTGTGTGGGTCGGACGGGGACAGAACAGCGGCCTGAAGAATGGCGCAAGGCTGCAAAGGCCTCCGGTGTGGGGATTAACGCCTCATTTCTCAGTGGCCGCGGTGACACTGGGCTAAAGTCCAGGCCTGGGGTCAGTGGCCACTGGTTGAAATGGCTGAAGGCCCCTGGCCTCCACTTAAGGGCCAGGCCCAGGATTGCTGTCAATCAGGGATGCTTTTCATGGGCTGGATGGGGCGGCTCAGACTTCCATGGGTGGCTGCAGCTGTGCATCCCACTTCAGCACCCCCCAACTCATGGGGGAGGGCCTGTGCCTGGTCTCTAGGACCAGCCCATCCCCAGACACCCCCACATCCCTTGCCTGGGCCTTCCTCCAGTCGGGCTCTGCAAACTCCCAGCCGGAGAGGAGCCCTCCTCGAATGGACGGGGAGAGGGTTCCTGTTGCTCCTGGCTCCCTCCCAAAAGCCATCGCGGAGCTTCAGTTTCCACCCAGATGCTGGAGCAGGAAGCAGCCCCGCCTGGGCACAGCAGGGCACTCTTCGCATGGGCAGAGGAACCCCGGAGCCTGATGCCCAGTGAAGAAACAGGGAGTCCCGGCTGGGAAGGCGGAAAGGGGAAAGGAGAGGGGAGGATCTGAGGCTGCTAAGGGGCATGGCTGTAAGGCATGGGAGGAGCCCAGGAGGAGAGCAGAAGCTCCGCCCCCACCTCTCTCCTCCCACTTGGTAGATTTCTGCTTTCCTCCGCGTATTTCACTTCTTCATAGCACGATCGGTGCTGGATCCCTCGGGAAAGGCTTCTGGATCCCCCTCCAGGCAGGTCGGGTTGCTCTCCCTCCGGCCTTTAGGGCGCCCCTCCCGCCAGGAGAGCTTTTACCTTCCCCCCGCCATGAGAAAGATAGCTGCGGATCCGGCAAATCGGCTTCCCGGGTTTTCCTTGGGGAGATTTGGCTTTGCGTCGCCTGCAGGGAGCGGCTCCCTCCCTTCCCTCCAGGGGGGCAAAGGGGGGTCCCTCCCTCCCCCGGCTGGATCTGCCCCCTCCTCACCCGGCCGAGGCTCCCCGTGGGGTTCCGGGTGGATCCGGGAAGGAGCTTTTGGGGAAGTTGCTTTCAGAAGGTCTCTCTGTGGTCCGTCACAGCACCAGGTCTCTTAAGTATGCATATCCCGCACGTGCAGCTGCAAAAATGTAGCAAACGGAGCTTTAAAAGATTTAGTGAGATTTGTAATGTGATGTTGAAACGGACTGACCTCATTGCGATAGCGAAGGGAGTCTTTGAGGGAAAGAAAAAGGGTTAAAGTAACTGAATGGAGTTCATTGTTTTCTTAACCCACAGACATCCCCCTTTCTTTGAGTTCAATGTAAAAGGCGAAAAAGAAAATCCTTTGTGTGTAGGGTTGTAGGACGAAAACCCACCCCGCCTCGCTGGAAAAAGCCTCCCCCCCCCCGTTTATAACTAAAGTTTTTTAAGACATAGAAAAGCCAAAGTAAATTGCACAAGCCACCAAAGGTAAAAAGTAACACCATCTCCGTTTTTTTCCTTCCACTCGAAGCTGTCTGAGAAATAGCCTCCGGCAGACTGGCCCCAGCTTTAGCCTAAAGAAAAAGCTGAAATGTTGCAATCAGAGGTCTTCAATAGCTTTAATTGTTGTGAAAGCAGAAACAAGGACTGCAGCCTGTTAATGTGCAGAAATGGCTCTCCGGAGGCTCTAGACGGGCTAGAGATAAAGGGATAAAGTGAATTACATCTCTTTCAGCGGCTTATGCCAAGGAGGCCGATTTTACATGTCCTTAAGCAGACGAATGTGGGGTTGTCTGAAGTGGGCAGGAGAGGCCATGTGAGTCCCAGCACAGGCTATTTTTGACTTCAGGGACACATTGACTTTGGGGCACGTGGCTTGGAAACATGTATGGAACATGCAGCTTGGAGAATGGCGCAAGGCTGCAAAGGCCTCCGGTGTGGGGATTAACGCCTCATTTCTCAGTGGTCGTGGTGACACTGGGTTAAAGTCCAGACCTGGGGTCAGTAGCCACTGGCTGAAATGGCTGAAGGCCCCAGGCCTCCACTTAAGGGCCAGCCCAGGAATTATTGTCAATCGGGGCTGGTTTTCATGGCCTGGATGGAGCGGCTCAGGCTTCCATCCCACTTCAGCCCCCCCGAACTCATGGGGGAGGGTCTGTGCCCGGTCTCTAGGACCAGCCCACTCCCAGACACCCTCACATCCCTTGCCTGGGCCTTCCTCCACTTAAGAACCCTCAAGATGGTTTAATGACTGTAAGCCGGAGTGTGGGATTGCGCTTGGTGAGTGAAGTGGCCGTGTGACCCTCACATAACTCCTACTTCACTGGACACACCGAGATTCCAGTCCCGATTTTGGTCATAAGTTGAGGACTACCTAAAGTTTCAGGGCTTCTTTTTCTCCTCGTCATAGGACGAGAACCAAGATAGAGTCAGTGAACAGCAGGAGAGTTTGCCTCCAAGGGATCTGGGGTGACGGAATCCATGGAGGTTTTGTCTGGGGTGTCCTGCAGACCTCGGCCCATGACAGTGGGTGGACTGGAAGACCTTCATGGTCCCTTCCAAGGCTACAATATAGTGATTCTCTACCATTCTCAAAAGGAAACTTTATTCTCCTCTTATTTCTTTTTCCACCAGCAGGAAAACAACTCTGACCAAAGATTGACCTGCACATCAACTATCAACAGATAACAGAAAATCAGAGCAAGGCAGCAGTCACCAGAAAGCATGGAGCCTGGGAAACTCTTGGATCCCCCGTCAGACACAATCAGCACTCCGGAAAACCACAAAAAACCCCATGAATGCTCAGAGTGTGGGAAATCCTTTGCTCGCAGATCAGTGCTTTTTACCCACAAGAAGATCCATATGGGAAGTGGATCCAGTCAAGGTTTGGAGGGTGAGAAATCCTCTGGAACAGACACCAAAGGTCTCAGAAATCCCCCCAGACTAAAACCCTATAGATGTATAAAATGTGACTTATGCTTTGGTCAAAAGTCACACCTTCTTACCCATCAGAAAACCCACACAGGAGAGAAACCCTATCAGTGTCTTGAATGTGGGAAATTTTTTTGTCAGAAAGCCACCCTCAGAAACCACGAGAGGCTTCACACAGGGGAGAAGCCTTACAAATGTTGGGAATGTGGAAAGAGCTTTTCTCAGAACTCAAGTCTTTGGGCCCATGAGAAGGTTCATGCAGGAATAAAATCTTACAAATGCTTTGAGTGTGGAAAATGTTTCACCCGGAGTTCAGGTCTTTGGAGTCATTCGAAAACACACAGAGGGGGAAAAAACGAAAAGTGCCTCGAATGTGGGAAATGTTTTATCTGGAAATCACTCCTGGTGCGACATCAGAGAATTCACACCGGAGAGAGACCCTATGAATGCCCAGAATGTGAGAGACGATTTATGTACTTGTCTCTACTTCAGAGGCACCAGAAGGGGCACAAACAGGAGAAACCCTATCAATGTGGGGAATGTGGGAAAGGTTTTCTTACACAAACAGAGCTTAAGATTCATGAGAGAATCCACACAGGGGGAAAGCCATACAAATGTGGGGAGTGTGGGAAATGCTTTACCCAAAAACAAAACCTTGGAAGGCATCAGAGGCTCCACACAGGAGAGAAGCCATACAGATGCCTAGAATGTGGAAAATGTTTTGCTTGGAAGGGAACCCTTTTGACACATCATAAAACCCACACAGGGGAGAAGCCATATCAATGCATCGAATGTGGACAATTTTATTCTACCACATCACACCTTAGAAGTCATGTAAAAACTCACACAGGGGAAAGAAATTACAAATGTTTAGACTGTGGGAGAACATTTGCTCGTTCATGTTCCCTTAGAAACCACAGCCGAATCCATATAGGAGAGAAGCCCCATAAATGCTCGGAGTGTGATAAATGTTTTTCTCGGAAAGATACTCTTGTGATACATCAGAGAATCCACACTGGAGAGAAACTATATAAATGTCCAGAGTGTGGGATATGTTTCGCCCGAACATCATCACTTCGCAAGCACACCAGAAGTCACACAGGGGAGTCGCCTTACAAGTGTGCCAAGTGTGAGAAAACCTTTCGTAGTAAATCTCACCTAAAAATGCATCAGAAAGTCCATAGTAGAGAGAAACCCCTTCAGTTGTGAGGAATGTAGAAAACGTTTTTTGAAACGTCACATCTTATAATTCACCAGGAACTTCACACAGTCCCAGATGGGAAATCCTACAGTTTTTTGGTGTGGGGAAACCTTCACAATGACGAAACCAGCATGGCATTTTTTTGTCCCAGTTTCTTGTGCTGCACAGGAGAGGTTCCACAAATGCGTCAGCAGAAATCAACATTTTATTTCTGATTTTTTTACTTTTCATTTTAGATATTAAGATTTTGGGGTCCAGAAGAGAAGAAGGAAACTCCGTTTAGATGCCTCAGATCATATGAGGTGATGGAAATGGCCTTATGATTCCGTTTCACCTAAAATGACAGAGAGATCCCATTTTCCTCTTGAATGTGTATTTACATCCCAGCCAGCCCAGAGACCAAGGACCTCCTGGTGGTCTCCCATCCAGCACTGCCGAGCTTTCCTAGAGTGGCCAAGGCTGGCCAGGTGTGGCCCCTTAGCTGAGACAAGCACAGTGAAAGGGAGGGTCTCTCTCTGGGTCTGGCAAGATGGGGTTAAGGCAAGTCAGGAGTCCAGTTAAAACTCAGGAGCTTCTCAGAGAAAAACTGCAAAGAGGGAAAGGGTTTGTGCTAAGCGACCGAGAGTCTTTTTGGAGTTGGGCAGGATTAACAAATTCAGGAAATTCAGATATTTTTGCTGGGTATTATGGAAGATTTGGACGCAAAAGAAATGGATTTGATGTTGAATTTGATAACTGCCGCAAGACTACTCGTAGCTCAATGTTGGAAAACGGGACGTTTGCCCACTATAGAAGAATGGTCACTTAAAGTCTCAAATTTAGCAGAAATGGCCAAGATTTCCGCTTATGTGAAGGATTATTCACAAGAAAGATATATTTCGGTTTGGAGAAGATGGATAGATTATATTGAGAGTAAATATGGTACTAAAAAATTTCATTTGGTTTTTGAGTAAACTTTAGAGTGCTAATGTAGTTTATATGTTATAATAGGTTACTTATCTTTATTTATAATTATTAATATGATGTTATAATTATTGTGTTTAATATTAGTATATTTGTTTAAAAGAGAGTTAAAGGATGTTATAGATTTGTTAATCTAATAGTTGATTAATGTTAGATAGAGTATGGTTATTGTATTGTTAACCCTGTTATTGGCTCTGGGAAGTGGGGGGGNAAATTACATTGTAAAACTTTTATAAAATTTTCAATTAAAAAAAACAAAAAACAAATTCAGGAAATAAATAGAAACATGGAATAACGGGAAGGATCCAGGAGGCCGCGTTTGCAAACGCCTTTCTTTTCTTCTCTTTATTCTTTTTATGTTATTCTCCAATAAAACTTTGTTTTGTTAACCAGACTTGTCTTCGTATTGTGAGTATCAAAATTTGGGGTTTTTATATCTCACACAAACAGGGGGAGGGAGGGAGGAGGATCTGTAACCCCTTTGCCATTGCAAGGACCCACCTGCCCGGTCTCTCCCTCCCTCCCCCCCACTCCTGAGGACCCGGGCCAGCCCCTCCCTCTCCGTCCTCAGTCGGGCTCCGCAAAGACCCAGCCGGAGAGGAGCCCTCCTCGAAGGGACGGGGGGGGGTTCCTGTCGCTCCTGCCTCCCCCCCAAAAGCCATCGCGGAGCTTCAGTTTCCACCCAGATGCTGGAGCAGGAGGCAGCCCCGCCCGGGCACAGCAGGGCACTCTTCGCATGGGCAGAGGAACCCCGGAGCCTGATGCCCAGCGAAGAAACAGGGAGTCCCGGCTGGGAAGGCGGAAAGGGGAAAGGAGAGGGGAGGATCTAAGGCTGCTAAGGGGCGTGGCTGTAATGCGTGGGCGGAGTCCAGGAGAGCAGAAGCTCCGCCCCCTCCCACTCGCTGGGTTTCCGCTTCCCTCCGCGTGTCTCACTTCTCCCTGGCAGGATCGGTGCCGGATCCCTCGGGAGAGGCTTCTGGATCCCGCTCGGGGCAGGTCTGGCTGCTCTCCCTCCGGCCTTTGGGGCGCCCCTCCCGCCAGGAGAGCCCTGGCCGGGCGAGAAGGGGGCAGATCCAGCTTTGCACGGCCCGGCTCGCCCGCTGCCTGCTGAAACCTGGCAGGCTGGGAGCTGGGCGGCATTGCGCTTTCTTTTGGATTCGCGTCCAAAGTCTGCCGGAGGCTATTTATCCGACAGCTTGGAGTGGAAGGAAAAAAACGGAGATGGTGTTACTTTTTACCTTTTGTGGCTTGTGCAATTTACTTTGGCTTTTCTATCTCCTCAAAGACTTTTGTCATAAACGGGGGGGGGGGGGACTTTTCCCAGGGGGGTTGCGTTTTCGTCCTACAACCCTACACACAAAGGATTTTCTTTTTCGCCTTTTACGTTGAACTCAAAGAAAGGGGGATGTTTGTGGGTTAAGAAAACAATGAACTCCATTCAGTTAATTTAACCCTTTTTCTTTCCCCCAAAGACTCCCTTCGCTGTCGCAATGAGGTCAGTCCGTTTTAAAAAAATCACATTACAAATCTCACTAAATCTTTTAAAGCTCCGTTTGCTACATTTTTGCAGCTACACGTGCGGGATATGCATACTCAAGAGACCTGGTGCTGTGACGGACCACAGAGAAACCTTCTGAAAGCAACTTCCCCAAAAGCTCCTTCCCGGATCCACCCGGAGCCCCGCGGGGAGCCTCGGCCGGGCGAGGAGGGGGCAGATCCAGCCCGGGGAGGGAGGGATCCCCCTTTGCCCCCCTGGAGGGAAGGGAGGGAGCCGCTCCCTGCAGGCGACGCCAGAGCCGAATCTCCCCAAGGAAAACCCGGCAAGCCGGAGAGGCGGATCCGCAGCTACCTTTCTCCTGGCGGGGGGGGGGGAAGCTCTCCTGGCGGGAGGGGCAGCCCCAAAGGCCGGAGGGAGAGCAGCCAGATCTGCCCCGAGCGGGATCCAGAAGCCTCTCCCGAGGGATCCAGCGCCGATCGTGCTATGGAGAAGCGGGACGCGCAGGAAGGAAGCGGAAACCCAGCGAGTGGTGGTGGGGAAATCGGGGGCGGAGCTTCTGCTCTTCTCCTGGGCTCCGCCCACGTCTTACCGACCTGCCCCTCAGCGATCTCAGCTCCTCCCCCCTCCCTCCCCCTTACCGCCTTCCCAGGCGGGACTCAATGTTCTTCCGCTGGGCATCCGCGTCCATGGTTCCTCTGCCCATGCGAAGAGTGCCCTGCTGTGCCCGGGCGGGGCTGCCTCCTGCTCCGGCATCTGGGTGGAAACTGAAGCTCCGCGATGGCTTTTGGGGGGGAGGCAGGAGGGACAGGAACCCCCCCCCGGTCCCTTCGAGGAGGGCTCCTCTCCGGCTGGGTCTTTGCGGAGCCCGACCGAGGACGGAGAGGGAGGGGCTGGCCCGGGTCCTCAGGAGTGGGGGGGAGGGAGGGAGAGACGGAACAGGTGGCTCCTTGCAATGGCAAAGGGGTTGCAGATCCTCCTCCCCCCCTCCCCGTGGTTATGTGAGATGTAAAAACCCTAAATTTTGATACAATACTAAGACAAGTCTGGTTAACAGAGCAAAATTTTATTGGAGAATAGCAGAAAAAGAATAAAAAGAAAAGAGAAGAAAAGAAAGGCATTTGGAAAATGGTAAGTGAACACCTGTCCAGCCTAGACGAGTTCAAATCACCAGGACCAGATGGATTACACCCCAAGGTTCTCAAGGAACTGGCAGATGTGATCTCAGAACCACTGAACTATATTTTTCAGAGATCCTGGAGCACTGGGGAACTACCAGAGGACTGGAAAAGAGCTGATGTAGTTCCCATCTTCAAAAAAGGAAGAAAAAAAAGGACCCAGGAAATTACAGACCTATCAGCCTGACCTCAATACCTGGGAAGATTCTGGAAAAGATAATCAAACAACGAATAAGCGAACACCTACAGGCAAACAAAGTCATTACTAAAAGCCAACACGGGTTTGTCAAAAACAGATCATGCCAGACAAATCTTATTGCATTCTTTGACCCAGTGACAAAATTAGTGGATCAGAGGAATGCTGTGGATATAATTTACTTGGACTTCAGTAAGGCATTTGACAAAGTAGACCACAACCTACTACTTGAGAAGATAGAAAAATGTGGGTTAGGCAGCATCACCACCAGATGGATCCGTAGCTGGCTGACCGGCCGTACTCAGCGTGTGGTCCTCAATGGAACCGCATCTACATGGAGGGAAGTGTGTAGTGGGGTGCCCCAAGTCTGTTCTGGGCCCAGTGCTCTTCAACATCTTCATGGACGAGGGGATAGATGGGGAACTCATCAAATTTGCAGATGACACCAAGCTGGCAGGAATAGCCAACACTCCAGAAGACAGGCTTAGGATACAGGAGGATCTGGAAAGACTTGAACACTGGGCACTATCTAACAAAATGAAATTCAGTGGTGAAAAAAGTAAGGTTCCACATTTAGGCAAGAAAAACTAAATGTAAGGTATAGTATAGGTGGTTCCATGCTCAATAGTAGTAACTGTGAGAGGGATCTCGGAGTCCTAGAGGACAATCACCTAGATATGAGCCAGCCGTGTGCTGCAGCTGCCAAAAAAGCCAACACAGTGCTAGGCTGCATTAACAGAGGGATAGAATCAAGATCACGTGAAGTGTTAATACCACTGTCCAGCCCTCCCGGGCTCAACACACACTGAGGGGGAGCCAGGACCGAAGCCATGAGCCTACCGGGTATTACGTTCCGGTAAGGATACTTGACAACCACTTTACAATGCCTTGGTAAGGCCACACTTGGAATACTGCATCCAGTTTTGGTCACCACGATGTAAAAAAGATGTTGAGACTCTAGAAAGAGTACAGAGAAGAGCAACAAAGATAATTAGGGGACTGGAGGCTAAAACATATAAGGAACGGTTGCTGGAATTGGCTATGTCTAGTTTAACGAAGAGAAGGACGAGGGGGGACATGATAGCAGTGTTCCAATATCTTAAGGGCTGCCACAAAGAAGAGGGAGTCAAGCTATTCTCCAAAGCACCCGAAGGCAGGACAAGAAGCAACGGGTGGAAAATAATCAAGGAGAAAAGCAACCTAGAACTAAGGAGAAACTTCCTGACAGTGAGAACAATTAACCAGTGGAACAACCTGCCTCCAGAAATGGTGAATGCGCCAACACTGGAAGTTTTTAAGAAGAAACTGGACAGCCATTTGTCCGAAATGGTATAGGGTTTCCTGCCTGAGCAGGGGGTTGGACTAGATGACCTCCCAGGTCCCTTCCAACTTTATCATCATCATCATCATTATAAATTCAAATTCAAATTTATTTGATTTATATACCGCCCTTCTCCCTTGCGGGACTCAGGGCGGTGAACAGGCACATTAATAAAACAGCAATACCATAATATTTAAAAATATTCAAAACTAATTAAATTATTTGTCCTGTCCTAAAACCCACTATAATAATATAAAATTATATAAAATTATATCAATAAAAGCGACCTCCTGGATCCTTCCCGATGGATTGGGTTCCAGGAGCACAACAAACAGTTTCCAAGCTTTGCATTTTATACTTTTTACAATGCAGGTCACATCTAAGAAGCTCTTTCAACTCCATAGCCATTCTTCGAAGTTGTTTTTACACTTAATAGTTCATTCTGACAATTTCCTTCCAATTCCCGTCCATCCGGGTCATAATTCATTATCTTTGCTGATTACCATTTGTGGTTACCATTTCTGGTCACTCTACATAGGCAGGAAGCAGTAAATATTCCTTCTCGTACATTGGCATTGCATTGTGACATTGACACAACATTAATACATTTGTGCTAAACATAGTCTCATACATTGTTACACTGGGGCTTTATTTTGACATTTTATAAAAGAATAACTTTTATTTCCTTCAGGCGCTATCACATTTTTCAACAAAACTACAGGTGGTCCTCAATGTATGACCACAATTGAACCCAAAATTTATGTTGCTAAGTGAGAAATTTGTTACGTGAGTTGTGAGTTTTCCCCCATGTTACGAACATTTTTGACACAGTGCTTAAGCGAATCCCTGCAGTTGATAAGTTAGTAAGCCGGTCGTTAAGTGAATCCTGCTTCTACATGGACTTTGCTTGTCTTTGGGAGGTTGCAAAAGGGACACAGCAACGGTCAGAAGTATGAACCAGTTGCCAAGCATCCGAAATTCAGAAGTCACTTTCTTCGTTGCCCTTGTGACTTTGAACGGTCACTAAATGAGATTTAAGTCGAGGATTGCCTGTGTTTTTGGGGTTATACTTGTCCCGTAAGCCAAATGGGGTGAAACGCTCTGTGCAGAGGCTTTTACGAGAGGGGAACCAGAAGGAATTCCGGAAGGAAGGTGAAAGTCTGGCTGAGTTGGGAGGAGAAGAGAGGAAGGACACGTTGACAGAAGACAGGAAACTTGGAAATTGTGTTTGCTTAAATGTGACAGCGCCCACGGGGAGGGGGGGGAAGAGAATCTGTAACCCCTTTGCCATTGCAAGGAGCCACCTGCTCGGTCCCTCCTGACCACTCCTGAGGACCCTTCTGGGGTGGGGAGGGGGAGGGAAGACCCTGGAGGGAAGCTGAAGGGATCGGATGGAGCCAGGATGAGATTTATCCACCAGCAGGGAAGCTTCACTGGAAGAATAATAATCCCCCATATCATATTTCTGCACGCCACAGAAACATCATGAAAGTGGGTAATACATTCATTTTTAATCAGAGAAATTCTCCCCAACCACAGTTGTAATTTCCACTTCTTAACACATCCTTCTTGATTTCATCCCATGCCTTCACATAATTATTTTGACATACAATTTTTCCATTAATATTTTTGTTCCTTACAAAAGGTTTTCCAAAATTAGGCCTGAATTATCAGCAAATGCCCTTCTTTTCCCCAGGCATCTGTCTGCTGTGCTGATATTTATTCCATGTTTCTATTTATTTCCTGAATTTGTTAATCCTGCCCAACTCCAAAAAGACTCTCGGTCGCTTAGCACAAACCCTTTCCCTCTTTGCAGTTTTTCTCTGAGAAGCTCCTGAGTTTTAACTGGACTCCTGACTTGCCTTAACCCCATCTTGCCAGACCCAGAGAGAGACCCTCCCTTTCTGCTTGTCTCAGCTAAGAGGCCACACCTGGCCAGCCTTGGCCACTCTAGGAAAGCTCGGCAGTGCTGGATGGGAGACCACCAGGAGGTCCTTGGGCTCTGGGCTGGCTGGGAGGTAAATACACATTCAAGAGGAAAATGGGATCTCCTTGTCATTTTAGGTGCAACGGAATCACAAGGCAATTTCCATCACCTTATATTATCTGAGTTTCCTTCTTCTCTTCTGGACCCCAAAATCTTAATATACAAAATGAAAAGTAAAAAAATCAGAAATAAAAATTTGAATTCTGCTGAAGCATTTGTGGAATCTCTCCTGTATGGACGCTTTGGTATAGAAAAAGCACAAGAAACTGGGACGAAAAATGCCACGCTGGTTTCGTCATTGTGAAGGTTTCCCCACAACAAAAATCTGTTGGATTTCCCATCTGGGACTGTGTGAAGTTTCTGGTGAATTATAAGATCTGACGTTTCAAAAAATGTTTTCCACATTCCTCACAACTGAAGGGGTTTCTCTCTACTATGGACTTTCTGATGCCTTTTTAGGTGAGATTTACAATGAAAGGTTTTCTCACACTCGGCACACTTGTAAGGCGACTCCCCTGTGTGACTTCTGGTGTGCTTGCGAAGGGATGAAGTTTGGGCAAAACATTTCCCACACTCCAAGCATTTGTATGGTTTCTCTCCAGTGTGGATTCTCTGATGCATCACAAGAGTACCTTTCCAAGAAAAACATTTATCGCACTCCGAGCATTTATGGGGTTTCTCTCCTGTATGGATTCGGTTGTGTTTTCTAAGGGAATATGAATGAGCAAATGCTTTCCCACAGTCTAAACATTTGTAATTTCTTTCCCCCGTGTGAGTTTTTACATGACTTCTAAGGTGTGATGTGGTAGAATAAAATTGTCCACATTCGATGCATTGATATGGCTTCTCCCCTGTGTGGGTTTTATGATGTTTCCAAAGATTTCCCTTTTGAGCAAAACATTTCCCACATTCTACGCATCTGTACGGCTTCTCTCCTGTGTGGACCCTCTGATGACTTCCAAGATGGTGTTTTAGGGTAAAGCACTTTCCACACTCCTCACATTTGTATGGTTTTTCCCCTGTGTGGATTCTCTCGTGAAGCTGAAGCTCTCTTTGTGAAAGAAAACCTTTCCCACATCCCCCACATTCATAGGGTTTCTCCCCTTTGTGTCCCTTCTGGTGTCTCCGAAGCGCAGAAGGAAACATAAATCGTCTCTCACATTCTGGGCATTCATAGGGTCTCTCTCCAGTGTGACGTCTCTGATGCTGCACCAGGCTTGATTTCTTGGAAAAACATTTCCCGCATTCAAGACACTTTTCATTTTTCTCCCCTGTGTGTGTTTTCTCATGATTCCGAAGAGTTGAACTCAGGGTGAAAGATTTTCCACACTCAAAGCATTTGTAAGATTTTGTTCCTGCATGAAACTTCTCATGGGCCCAAAGACTTGCCTTCCAAGAAAAGCTCCTCCCACATTCCCAGCACTTGTAAGGTTTCTCCCCTGTGTGAATCCTCTCATGGTTTCCCAGTTGTCCTTTTTCACGGAAAAAAATCCCACATTCCAGACACTGATAGGGTTTCTCTCCAGTGTGGATTCTCTGATGCTTAACAAGGTTTGACCTTTGACCAAAGCATAGGTCACATTCCTCACATTTATAGGGCTTTAGTCTGGGGGGGCTTCTGAAATTTTTCATGTCTTTTCCAGAGAAGGATTTCTCACCCTCCAATCCTTCACTGGATCCGCTTCCCACATGGACCTTCCTGTGGGTCAAAAGGAGGGACCGCCGAGGAAAGGATTTTCCACACTCTGAGCATTCACGGGTTCTTTTGTGGTTTTCTTTTGTGGCTGCTTCTGTCTCACAGGGGATCCAAGAGTTTCCCAGGCTCCATCCTTTCTGGCACTGGCTACCTTGCTCTGATTTTCTGTTATCTCTTGAAAGGTGACTTCCAGGTGAATCTTTGGTTTTCCTGCTGGTGGAAAAATAAAGAAGAGGAGAACAATGTTTCCTTTTAACAATGGTAGAGAATCACAAAATCTTAGCCTTGGAAGGGACCATGAAGGTCTTCCAGTCCACCCTCTGACCAGGGCAGAGGTCCACAGTACACCCCAGACAAAACCTCCATTGATTCCGTCACCCCAGATCCCTCGGAGGCAAACTCTCCTGCTGTTTACTGACTCTATTTTTTCCTCCTTGGTTCTCGTCCTATGACGAGGAGAAAAAGAAGCCCTGAAACTTTAGGTAGTCCTCAACTTATGACCAAAATCGGGACTGGAATCTCGGTGAGTCCAGGGAAGTAGGAGTTATGTGAGGGTCACACGGCCACTTCACTCACCAAGCGCAATCCCACACTCCGGCTTACAGTCATTAAATCATCTTGAGGGTTCTTAAGTGGAGGAAGGCCCAGGCAAGGGATGTGGGGGTGTCTGGGGGTGGGCTGGTCCTAGAGACCAGGCACAGGCCTTCCCCCAAGAGTTGGGGGGTGCTGAAGTGGGATGCACAGCTGCAGCCACCCATGGAAGCCTGAGCCGCCCCATCCAGCCCATGAAAAGCATCCCTGATTGACAGCAATCCTGGAGCTGGCCCTTAAGTGGAAGCCTGGGGCCTTCAGCCATTTCAGCCAGAGGCCACTGACCCCAGGCCTGGACTTTAGCCCAGTGTCACCGCGGCCACTGAGAAATGAGGCGTTAATCCCTGTAGAGAGGGGGCCCGGGTGGAGGCCGTGAGCAGAACACTGCCCTTCCGACGCCTGCGTGCCTCTTCTCTCTGCATTATCTCTTTTCTCCGCATTACCATGGCAATGTGGGAAACTACCCAGGCTAATGCAATGACCTTGCCTGCCTGATATCAGCTAGCCTACAACAACAGGATGCTACAGCCAACTGCCCCCTGTTTTGGGCCTCTGGCTTTCTATCCTTAAGCATTGGTACGGAGTTTAATGCTATTGCTATGCTGATGCCATGTTAAACGTTTGCTGCTTGTAAAACTGTATATAAAGAATAAATGCTGCGACAGCGGGCAGCCATTTTTTGCACCCTGCAATGACTGAGCACTGATTACTACAACTCCCCACGCCGTAGGCCTTTCCAGCCTTGCGCCATTCTCCAAGCTGCATGTTCCATACATGTTTCCAAGCCATGTGCCCCAAAGTCAATGTGTCCCTGAAGTCAAAAGTAGCCTGTGCTGGGACTCACATGGCCTCTCCTGTCCATTTCAGACAACCCCACATTCGTCTGCTTAAGGCATGTCCAAAGTCCGGCCCGCGGGCCATTTGCGGCCCGCGGACCGGTTTAATCCGGCCCGCTAAGAGCCCTCCCTGCTCTATTTAAATGCGGCCCTCCTTATCATAAAGTTTATTGGCGGGGTCTTCCCTCGACCAATAGGCAGCTTGGTCTCGTTATGCGGCCCTCGCGAGACTCTGCTTGGCCTGCGCCGTGGG